ATGTACTAAAAAAAAAAAGTGGAGCTGAAGCCCAGGCCTAATGAGGTGACCTCGACATGTCTTTGTAGAATGCAGATAATACCTAAGAATGCGTTTAATAAAACCGTGCTCTTAAAAGTTATCTTTTTAAAGAGCCTTATGAAACAATCTTCCTGCACTCAGGAATAACATCTTTTTTTTGCCTCAGAATGCTCACCAGTCAACAATATGTTGGAAAAAGGTCTTGTTCCTCATCATAGAAATAGCCTCCCAGCTACTAAATCCTTCTGCAGCTTTACCTAAGTTACAGCATGGACTTGCTTGAAGTATCACAGTAACCCCAGTCACACTGTAGGATGTTACCCTCTTTTCACAGAAGGGGAAATTGAGGCTTATAATGGCTAGGCGATCTGGCCAAGGTCATGCGACCAGTCTCTCTGACCCTAAAGTCTTAAGTTGCTTCAACGACTAGTTGTTTTCAGATCTAAAATTGTGTTCCGGAAAGAACTCCATTGAGGTAGGGAAGACAAAAATCAAACCGTGATCATCTTTCAGTGTCTCCACCTCAGAGCTGGGCAGAGAACAGCCCCTGAGCGGGGCTGAGGGGGGGGGCGGGGGGCGCCAGCGCCTACCTCTTGTCCTGTTCCCTACAGTTTGCATTCATCATCTAAACCAGGACACACTTGCTACACGCCGATTCAGAACTAAGTCATGTACATCTTTAAACATTTAGCAACAGCAGATTTCAAAAGACACTTAAGATGTATTGCAAAATGTACAGCATTTATTCACATACAGACAAAAAGGCACAAATTCTACTAAATAGTTCAACAAAAAAATACAGCTGTCCTCAACTAGTTTTATAAATACTTTCAAAAAGGGGGTAGAAATAAATACAGGATTGGGCCATGTCATATAAAATAGTCATCTCTACATATACTTTGTTTAATTTCTGATTTGTAACTCTTCATGCACCTTTTTTTTTTCAATTTTAGCTGAATGGACACCAAGCTAGGCACATAGTGAAAAATCCTCTGTACAAGGTTACAAATGTAATGACAAGTTTGTCCATTTGAAAATAATTAAGATTTGTACACAACACATATAACCCTTCATCGAGATTTTGTGTTTATAACCTAACAAATGACATTCCAGGCAACTTTACAAAAGTTTAACTAGCCTACATTTTGACATAATACATTGATCATAATCAAAGATACTTCTTGGTCAGGGTGCACAAGGAAAGATAAAGCTTAAAAAAAAAAAAAGAAAGAAAAGAGCAAATGGTAGGTCCCAC